GTCTGCTGAGATATACTTGAACTTGGCTTTTTGTTACTACAATTACAGAGGCAGGATCAGGATGAGGGGCAGGGGCTGCCATGCTCAGAACTCACTTGGAACAGGGGCTGATCACAGTCGGTGTAGGTGGGTAAACCAAGGCAACGTTCACTCGCTCACTGCCGTTCTTGGGGCAAATGATCTCTGCCACTCCTTCCGGTCTGGGCTGACTCAGCAGCTCCCCTGCAGAAGGAGAGAGAGAAATGCATTAATGACATTTGCCTTAAAAATGGGACCACCTGCCAGCGAAACGCAGCTTGGCTCTGCTCCCACTTGCACCGCCGAAGCTCTCATCTGCGTCACCGTGGACAGCGTTCTGAGGGTTGTGGCAGGAAGACCATCTCTGCAGACAAAGACAGCATCTGCCACTATTCTCTTCACCTTCCTTTTCCTAGACTGACTCTGGACATCTTTATCTATGTGTCAGGCAGACTGAGCCAGGATCCCCAGAGCCCAGAGAAGCAGGGGCTGCCAGGGAGGTGTTCACAATGAGGACGGGGCAGATGGGATGCGGGCAAAGGGAGCCTTCAACAAAGCCCCACATAAACGCCCTGGAAATGCAGCCCGCTGAAGGTGTTATCAAGGTAAACAGCCCGGCCTCATACTGGCGAGAGGATTTCCTGGTAGGTCTGTGTTCTGATTTGAAAAGCCCAACACAATGCTATCTTATTAATAACGGGGTCTAGTAAAAACAGGTAATTAACATAATGGATTCCCACAGTCCCCAAAGGCAACCGTGTCCTCCGCACGCCCTAGATACAATTTCTCTCCAACTAGACCATTAAACCCCTGAGCAGTGATGGCTTCTGCTCCTGAGTTTCCTCCCCATCGTCCAGCGGCCCTTGCTCTATTGCCATGGCCAGCATGGTGCTCTTGCTCAGAGAGAGGTCAATAAATAGCTTCTGGCTGACAATGGCACTCATTATTGCCTAAATGCAGCTTCTTAAACACAGAAAGTAAATAAACCAAACCAAGGACACAAAATGTATGCCAACGGGAGAAAGACGCTACTGGAATTAAAAAGTCAACTCTATGGAAGCCATCACTTGTACCACTGATTTGAAATTCCAGAGACCCCAAAGTTTATGCCAACATGTGATAATACAAAAATCCTTTGCCTCGGAATACCATATTTCTGAATGTCTCGCCTGCAGCAGAACTCAGTGACTGACATGCTCACGTGCCATCACTGAATAAGACCTTTAAATGTACATCTCATTTCATCTGGACAATGTCCCTGTTGGGTTTATCCTCATTTGACAAATAGGAAGCTAACATTCAAGGAGGCTAAGTACAGACATAGTTGTACTTTTATGAAAGGCATTTATTTCCTGGTTTGAACATTTCTACATGGCTTTGCACAACAGAAATTGGATGTAATTTGAGTTTCTTAACCAAACTACTGCAAACAGCAACTTACTGCAAGATTTAATTTACCATGATAGCTTATATCTTAGATACCTGAACTATATATCAGAAATTATACTCGGACACCAGTTAGGAAAAGATCCCAAAATGTTAAAATGCAAGTTAAAAATGTAAACATTAAGTGTTATCTAAGTAAAACAATGAACCACAGTAATAGCATATTAAAGCTAGACTGAAATTTGGAAGCCATCCAATTCAAATACTACTTTACAATTCAGAGGCTCTCTCAGTTCAACAGATCTGCTCCAAGGCCCACAGAGAGCTGCTCACCTTTAAACCAACCAACCCCCATAAACTGCAGGGTTAGAACTACGGGAAGAGGGGGCTCTGCACACCCCAGGCCTTTCCCTGGCCCTGGCTCTGGTCTGCCCTCCCCGATGCCTCACCTGATAGTCTCAATTTGTACTTTCTGTCCTAAGAGTAGCCACAAGGCTTGAACACAGACTGACTGGATCTCTCTGGTTTCTCCTGAGAACTCTCTCCTGGTTGGAATTTCACAGGGGCCTCAGCTCTGTTCACTTTCAGCTGCCTGAGTGCCCAGGATACAAATGCAGGTGTCAACCCCCCACCCCAGGCACCCATCCTTGGCATCAGCTTGGCACAGCGGGCTTCCTTGATGGGTAGGTTGTAGGTCTTGGTGAGCAGGCCAGTTGCCAGAGAATTGAAAATAATTTACAGCAGACTATTAAGCACTGGTTATTCATTTCTATTAAACCAGCAGCGTTACTGTCCCCATCCCCCATGTCCCAGACTCCCAGCATCATGCAGGACCAGGCAACTGGTCTCATCTATATCCTGTACCTGGCAGCATTGCCAGCCACTGAGACAGCACAAAAGCTGAAGGCACCAAGCAGTTTCATGTATATGAAAAGGTCACTTGATACTACAGAAAACTGAGCAACAAGCAGAACAGTCCACAATCTCCAGTACAACCATGCACTCCAAAAAGCTACTGCATGGTGACAGCACTCTTAGGATTTAAGAAATGTGCCCAATTGCTAAATTAAGAAAATAACATTAACAGCTTTTTCCTCCCCAAAAAAAGTATCTTATCACGAGTACGAAGAATGGTTTATAACATGTGCTATCTACTAAAATAGAAGCTGATTGTCTCAAATTTCTTCAACACAAATTTGATTTTGAACTAAAATACAGCAACTCACTGAATATCTAAATGGGGAGACCTTACTGTGTGTGAGGAGCTGAAGATGCAGGAGATACTGGAGTCTAAGGTAAGGTCTCTGATGTCGAGGGTCTCAGCATCCAAGAAAGTCAAGTGAGCGAAAAGAATTACAGTCCTGAATGATGGGTGCAAGCAGCCCAAGTGCCCATCAGTAGAAATATGGACAAAAAAGCTGTGGTACATTTACACAAAGGAATACTACTCGGTCGTGAAAAATAAGGAAATCTTAGCCCTTTGTGACAACGTGGAGGGATCTGGAAAGCATTATGCTAACTGAAATAAGCCAGTCAGAGAAAGACAAGTACCATATGATTTCACTCATATGTGGAATCTAATGAACAAAATAAACTAACACACAAAATAGAAACAGACTCATAGATAGAGAACAGACTGACAGCTCTCAGAGGGAGGGAGGTTGTGGGGCTGGGTGAAAAAGGTGAAAGGATTAAGAAAAAAAGCACAAAAACTCATAGACACAGACAAAAGGATGGTAATCACCAGAGGGAAAGGGGGCTGGAGGGATGTAGAAGAGGGTACAGGGGGATAAATGGTGATGCAAGGAGACTTGACCTGGGGGTGGTGAACACACAGTACAATATACAGATGATGTGTTCTAGAATTGTACACCTAAAACCTATATAATTTTATTAACCAATGTCACCCTAATAAGTTCAATTTAAAAAAAGTAGGGCCTTGCTTTCTGACAAAAATTATACAATGATTACTCATAGCAATGCTATTTATAAAACAGTGAAAACTTGGTAACCCTCTCAAAATGTCCAGCTGTGGGGACAGATAAGCTATGACATATTAATCAGATGGAACTCTCTGTAGTCACTAAAAATTCTGAGACTGACATTTCAATGTGTAAACTTGAAAGTACATTCTAATTAAAACAAACTGACAAAGCACACAGATGAATTTAGAGTGAAATGGGTCATTCGAGATTAAGAGGTCCTGACTTATTTACTTATTTTTATGTGTGAGTCAGTAATAAGAGACTACAGTCTGCCTCACACTGAAGGGAGAGGCCAGTGTTAACGGCAGCACTTTCTCCTCGGGGGGAGATTTTCTATCATGTGCAACATACAATGAATGGTAAACAGTGTTCCTGAAGATGCAGAAATTTGGCCTGATAAACAGACCACTAACTGAAGCTGTGTTAGGCCACTAAGCTGTCTCCTTGTGCCCATTAAAGTTATGAAAAACTCTTCTTAATTACTCTAGCTCAGGATTTCTGGCTTTAAAATACAAGCAAACTCTTTATCAACCGTTTTCCCCCCTGTGAAAGAACAGAACACCAAGTTTTATTATGGGTTTTCAAATTAAAATCAACAGAAGATAAGTAAAATGAGCTCAACTTTTTCTGTGAATCATCAGAAGTCTCAAATATTAGACACATGATGAAAATAGGAAAAATTTATCTTACTGACGACCCAAACCACACTACTAAAAGCACCAAGCCTTCCTTTTCAGTGCAAATAAAACCCTCTTCTTAATCAAGCATAATGATGTAGGTTACGAACATCCCTCCCCACAGCAAAAGTAGTCTTGAAATTGACATAAACAAATATATCAGTTCCATTAAATAAAGACATCTATTATCTAGATGTCTTTAAGGCCTCTCAGCTCTAATACTGTAAAATTCACACCCTCCAGCCCTGAGGTCCACTGCTGGCCTCTAATTAATTTAATTAAGTGAGACTCTGGATGGAGCCATAATGGACACACGAATGCATGTTTCCCAGGTCTCCTCGGGGCAAACGCAGCACCCTCCGAAGCCAGTGCTCAGGCAGGCTCCCACTTCACGAGCCAGCAAGTTACCCAAGGCAGCAAGGACTGGAGAACTCCCTGGTCCCTTTTGTATGGAACGGGAAAGCCAGGTGGAGAGAAAAGAATACCTTGTCTTAGAGCAAAATAAAGTCCAGAAAGCATATACGCAGAAGTAAACATGAAACATTAACATGTTCAACTGAAAAACGTGCCACTGCGCTCACTTAGGACTGTGAGCGAAGGTGCCAGAAGCCACCTCTCTACACCTGTTGGTTCCAACCTCACCACCGTCTGCAGACTTGGCTGCCCTATGCTGTTCCAGGGGCAGGTCCCCGTGCCTGAACCTCATCGCACCACGATGCCTCCCTCCAGACCACAGCTAAATAAAATAAAAATAAAATAAAATAAAATTTAAAAATTAAAATAAAATAGGCTGGTTGTACTTTTGGGTAGTCTTCATTTAAAAAATAATCCATGACGTGAAGTGACTTTAGTCTCAGCCTTTGATTATGAATTGTAACTTTTCTTGGAAAAGAAAGTGATGGTCAGAAAGTAGCAGAGCAAGCCTGTGTAGAGCAGGCTTGTCTCCAGGCCCAGGGTTATGCCCATCTCTGGCAGCCAGAAGTAAACACTATGCATAATTTGGAAATAATTTGTAAACATTTTTTAAAAAATTAAAATCCAAAGGATGCAGGTCATAAAATGCCATGTAAAAGTATTTTCTATCATATTTAAATTAAAGGTAAAGTTCAAAAGAAAATTTAAAATGAAAATGAGTGAAAGGTAATGCAATTTTGGA